CTTGCGGTTGGCTGACCGTAAATTTGCGTACACATACGTTTATATTTATGTAGCGTATAGGCTAGTCGAAAAGGGGCAATGTAACGGCGCCAAGTATGATTTTGGAAACACTAAGCAGGGTGGGACTTTGGAAGTAGGAGTGTTTAGTGTAAGCCTTTGTTTTGTCTTACAGGTGAAGACCTGCCAGGTACCGCCGAGAAATTAGAACCGGTCGAAATTATGTCACACAAGCCCTCTAAGTTGAATTTTATTGTACCGTTCGTCGACTCTCCTGTTCTAGTTGATATTAATGTAGCAAGAGCTTCCTACCTCTTAGTATTTACTGTCCTTCATTCACAATATACTGTCAGTACACCAATGTATTGCATTGTTTTATGAAACGTGTGACTTGTACTGACGAACGAATTGACTCTGAGCTTAGGGACGAGACCCCAACATATGAGATTTCAAAAGGAATCAAGATCCCAGAACCTACTATCGCTGGAAATTGCAAGAGAGGAGACGGCCGCTTACCGCAGGCAGCTTTAATCAGTTTGAGCGTTAAATTCTATGCGACAGATCTGTTCGCTTTAGCAGAGACTGCCTACACATTCATGTTATTAAAAACAGGCCAACGAGTGATCATAATTCTGCCCTGTTGGCAGTTAAACGAAAATTTACAAACGGAGAAACGTTTACCAAGCCACAAACTATGCGGAGGGAAACGGCACAGTGCCTATCGTCCCTAAGATGACAAGCACCTCAATAGTTCAGCTGAAGCCGAATCAGTGAGTAATCCACTACTCATCTACTCCGGAGATAAATAAAAATTCAGTAGCAATGCTTACCGCAAGCTCCTGTGAACTCTAAACACCAATAAAACATTTCCAACTCAGATGGGTGTTGCAGTCTGCGCCGAAGATCTACCTGTTAACTTAAGTGCTTACTACCTGGAATGTCAAGGAGCGGTGGTTAATATAACAACATTGGGTAGAGGTTAGATGTGGAGTAAACTGGCTGGGGACTGGTGTAAAATTAGGGTTTACCAGCAGCACTATCACCACCAGTCGTAGCAAAATGGAATGGGTTGAGGTCAGGCAAGCCAATATACGATCTCTATTCGCCATAATGGTGGTATTCACCCACATGGTTTATCGACGCAACGGATGAAACTTTTGTTCCTGGAAGATAAAGGTATTTGTTCACGAACTTACGGTACCTAAGCGATCAGCATGTATTAAACAAGGCTATATTATGCACTGCGAGTCAAGTTCTCACAGTTAGCACGCTTCATTCACAATTCTTTTGTAACACCCTACTGAACTCTATAGAACGTTTATTCTCTTAAAGTAAAAATTTGTCAGAGTAAGATGCCTGAATTTTAGTTTTTTTGAAATCCGTACAAATGTGTCTCAAATACCTGTTACAGTTATTATGTGTTTGAATCCCCACGAGTTCCGACTACAGGCTGGTTAAAGCATTTACTTTCCCTTCACCGCCGAAATTCAAATGGCTTATGGATGGTCTTGTTTTCTCCTTAGGCCATCAGCATCTAATCCAAAAACATTCCTTCTGACCAGATGCCTGTTAGATTTTCTTTCATTTATGGATAGCACATTACTGACAGAGATAAGGGAGACTGGAATGACAATTTCTGGTTCAAGCTCAGGTGTTACGGCATCCGACACTGGAACCCGTGACCTGTTAGACTGAGACCAAAGTCATACCGGGACAAGCGAATTCCGTAACCGATCGAGGAGTGCCCATCTATGAAATAGAGATTTCTGATTTCCATGGTTGACTGAGTCTATCTATATTTGCATATATCTTCCAAGTAGACAATATCGATCAATCCTAAATGCTGAGCATATCGAGTAAAGCGACCAAAATAACTTTAGATGGCTGCTAACAACCAGTCCACCAAAGAAGCATTTCCCATCCATTATGAGAGGAAACCGAACTTTTCGACCATTAGAGGAACGCCCGGCTAATAGTGCACTTGTACCTTTACGGTCTGATAGTTAAATTCAAGGATGAACCAGTACTAGTGCTTCCTTCACCTACAACGTCCTTCCAGAATATAGACGACTCGAAAATTGTGAACGTTCACTCCAACCCAAAAAGTCAACAGTTTATGAGCACTGACCATAAAACTGAAAATATTTATACATATGCAAGGAAAAGCTAACTGAAAATTACATCCAATGAAGTGATATACAAAATATTCAATAAAAACGAAAATGAAAACTAGTAAACGAAGGAGAAAAATCACCAAAGAAAAGGTAGAGCGGGTCTATTTTCCTCATCAATTGTGATTTTTCACGTGCCCATGAGAAGTTTCTCGCGGCTGGGTCTGCTCCCCGTAAGAACCAATGCCCTGACATCCTCATAACGTGGTCGATGGCCTGAGCTGAGCAGGTCTATAGCATGTTCTGCAGTCATGGCAAGCTCCTGGCCATTGAACTGGCGTAATATTGTTGAAACAAGACGAGCCGTGCAGCGCCGTGGACTTAGGATGCGATTCAGGCGGTGATGGAATGTCTCAAATTTGCCCGCTTCCTCGTCGTACAGGACCTCGATGGTCCGATAACCGGCTGGACAGTACATGGAACGCGGATCGTCTGGGTGGAGGAGGTTGACCAAACACTTGCACTCCTCTTCTAGACGAAGCAGCTGCCTGTCTTTGTTGTAGGGCGTGACAACGAAGTCGTAACTGATGGGAACGTGGAAGTACTGGCGCACAACGCGTCCCACTTTCAGGCGCTACAGCAAGAAGAGGGGGCACATACTCATTCTAATGAGCAGAATAGACAAAATGTGTATTTCAAGCTTAGACGGCGCAACATAACACGCTTATCACTTCATAAAACAGATACTCCATAGAGGCATTAAAATACACTAATGACCGAGCGAAACCAGTTTGGAACTCTGTAGACATAACCAATGTCCAGTCATGCTACTGGGGCATTTTCGCCTGTACACAAATCAGGCTTTATTTTCAAAGGACCCCCTTTGGCCAGACTATGTTATGGTATAAGCAAGTCAATGTCAGTTTCGCACATTGGGACAAGGGAAGATACGATTTAAAACCGGGGCAACAATAAAGTTGGCCGACACCCTTAGATATCTCTAGTCCTAGGACTCTGTCTTAGGGGACCGGTGTTAATAGGGATTTTATGGTTGGGTCATATCATAGGAAAAAAATTAAAAATTAGAGCGCATAAAAGAAGAAAATAATAGGAATAATTATTCAAATGACTAACGTTTAGTGCGCGATAATTAAAATAACAAATACAAGCAATAGGCAACAAGAACTGCGCAAAAGTATTTGCAAACGGGCTACACGCCAATATCGACTTCATATCGAACTTAAGGGATCAAAATAAAACCATGAAAGGTGGAGCTTTCTCCATTTAAAAAACACACAATAGCTTATAATGCATTTGGACAGATATTGTAGTACGATAAGCCAAAGGCAACCGCATGTCACTTAAAAAAACTAAACTGAATTAAAAAATAAACTTAAACTATAACTCAAATTAAACTAATAAAGTAAACACGAAACTAAAAAATAAACTACAACTAATAGTCCTCAAAGTAACCACAGGAATCTGGCGATTTCTGTGTTGGTGGGTGCGGTAATAAGCATAATTACGCTTACTAAAACGAATATAGTAATTATTTAAGTACAGTTGTCAAATGCCCATAAGCAACTTAACAATTACCTAAACTGGGCTAGTCGGTGAAGTAAAAGAAGGAGTAGAAGAAGAAGAGAGGAAGAAGAATGGGAGTTAAGCCAGCAAGAGCTGGGAGGGGTGAGTCACAGAGCTAATTTTACTGCGGCCGAGGTTAAACGAGCCGAATACACAGCCGCACGTGGAGTCATGCCAGTAAGAACCACTGAGGCTAGGCATATGATGCGCAAGAACGTCACCTTACTACTGGTAGCGAATAGGGCCACCAATAGTAAGGTTTCACTCGCGGAAATAGAGACAATGAAGGAGTTCAAAAATAGACAGGGAAATAAAAATACTGCCAGCTGACAAAGAAAAAACTATCGTTTTGATTAACCACGTAGATAACAACGGGAGGGTAAAAGCTCCCCTCAACGACCAATAGTCTCACAACTCTACGCATTCTTCACAGGCCAAATGAACGATCGTTCAGTTAACCGAACTCCTGGACGACTCAGGTGCAACAATTTGATATCTCTGGAAAAAAATGACTACAAACTAAACCAACTGACACGGCACCGGCCCAGTTTTATGGTTTTCCCAAAATCCACAGACTCCACATTCCACTTCGGCCAATCCTTGCTCCGAAAGATAGCCCCACTTACAATATTTCCAAATTAATAGCCGACAAATAAACATTCTTTCAGAGGGTTCAATGACCTCCATGAACTCGGCTTCCCAGTTCCTGGCCGACATCCGGCGAAAAATCGTTTGACGTAATAAAATTATGATATAATTCGATGTGGTCGCCTTCTTTACATGTATCCCAACGGACCTGGTGCGTTACAGTCTACGAAAACGACTCAAAAAAGCTACGACAAAACTAAGGAAACTCAAAAACTTGAGCACTCAATAGAACTCTTTTCTTTCTGCCAACGAACCTTTTTAAGTTCAGGAGCAGAATACCATTGGGTTCCCTGATATTTAGCTTGAGTTTTAGCACAGATACGTGGACGAGACACTCGATATACTTGAGGAGAGCAGAGTATCTGATTTTCAAAACATGCTTAGTGACATATTCCCCGAAATGCAGTTCACAAAAGGAGAGTATTCTGAACAGTCGCCTTTCTTTAGTGTCCTTGTCACATTCAAACACAACGTGGAGCTCAGTACCACGGTGTATGGAAAATCGATTAACCCAATTCAGAATTTCAACTACCATAGCAACCAGTCAATGACCCCATAAACGCGACTGTAGTAGAGCGTTCCTTCAAAGGGAGGCATCCTTTGGACCACCTAGCAAAACCGGATACGCAAACAGCTTCATCAACCGTTTCCTCCGTACACGTCCACGGATAACAAACGACGGCGAACTGCCAACACTCTGGCACACTCCGCTATCTATAAAGAATATGTCAGAACCCATCATGCATAACATAATCATTCAAAGAAAGGACTGACTGGACGCAAGTTAGCAATCTGATGTAGCCTATCAGATCCCGTGCCGTGAACGTCTTCGCCATTATACAGGCCAGATTAAATGAAGACTTAGCTAACGAATAACCGAGCACAAACGGGCGGATCGAAGAGGAGACCCACTGTCTCAAGTCGCTACTCATACCCTGGGAAGAATATGACAAATTCAACTTCGCGGGCACGTGGATAATGGGATGATCCAGTAGAAACATGGGCTGGGAACTTCTGGGGGTCTAGGTGGCTAACCCCATCTCCCTCAAAGAATATGACACCAGATTCCACTACTATCACGCGCCATGCACATGTGACCAAGACGCGCGAGTCAGTTGTCAGCCAAGGGTGCACGTCGTCATCACGCCATGCGAAGGCGTGGACCCAGCCTTATCGTGAACACGACCTTCTCCTCTCAAACCATAGTCCTCACCTCCTCTCTGTTTAACTACTCATTTTATGTTGCATTCACACGGCCTCTGATGATGGTCTCCTGTCTGAGCCAAAAATTTCAAGCTGTTATGTCTATTGCCCCAGGGATCATGCGTTCATATGCTTTACAACGAGAAATTGGGACTCGCATATTCACTTCCATTCGTTTTATTAATTCTACAAAGGTGTGACTACAGTCAAATGAGGAGAAAAACGGTCTTGTCGTCACAAACCAAGCATAACCCTACAGTGATCAAGGCATCGTCTGATAGTTTAATCAATCGTGGCTGAGGGAAATCGTAGTTTAGCCTTCTAAATTGGACTTGTCGTTACCGAAAACCTTCAATGAATGTGAAGCTTTCAGGTATGGCGTAGTGGATAAAGTGTTGTCTCGCTCACCAGGCTGGCCGCACTGGCGTTCCTACGGTATTCATCAATTGATGCCAAAAATTTGTTTGACTAATAAGATGAGAAAGTAAACTCACAGCGCTGGTTGCGTTGGCACCGGCCTATCGACAGACAGTTCGCAATACGGTCTCCACATTCTGGTTAAGTGTCATATCTGGTGGCTCAGTAGCATTAGTAAAGGGAGACGCGTGGTGTTTAGAGTGGGGGAAAAAACCGCGAGGGAGGAGGTCACACGCTGTTAGTGAAAAAATAGAAACACTGCCTCTCGGTCGATCTGTGAGAGAGTTGGTAAAAACTACAGGAGTTCAGTTAAGTGTGTTGTGCAGAGGACGATTCGAAGCAGGGGTGAAAGGAGTTATACAAAATGCGACAGTAACTGACTTGCAACCTGCACGCTGTTAAGGCTAGAATGAATGATGTGACTATACAATAGACGTAGAGTCTTTAAGAACGCAACCGAACCCTAGGCTGAGGCATACGGGAAATCGATCAAATGCTGATTTCCATACACGTAGCCTCGAGTTCTAGTACGCTTGGTCGTTATCGGAAAAGTATGCACGATGCAATGCGATGAAAAGCTGTTGAGTCATTCTAACAAAGGACAGCCCTGTCGGATGCATAGCGTGAAAAATGCTAGCCATTTCTTCAGCGGTCACAAATTCGACCGCTAATATGCCCAGCTGACTATTATGTAGCTTTAGAACCTCATGTGCAGAAGCAGATATATTGAACTGTTAATTGAATATATAAACTTTAAAAAATATAAAATCAGTTATTGATAGGGGGAGGGGTGCTGGATGATTTGAATAATCCACTCGACCCAGTCGCAAAAACTCCAGCAGTGTCGGTGGGATTCGAGCCCACAACAGCAAGGAGAAAGCTTCAGTACAACCAACTGAACTAGGGGGCCTCGTCTAACTCCGCGAGTTTAATCACCCTTGGCTCAAGTTTCCCGCCAAGTCTACTGCAATCTAAGGAATCCACCGAATCATATAAAAAAAGCTGACTGCCCAAGCAGGATATATAAGGCAATCAGAATTACTGGATTCCATACGTTGCAGTAGGCTGGACGGGTCACTTGACTCAAGCGAGATTAAAACTACGGCTCCCAGTGGGATCTCGTAGCCCAGATTGTGGAAGGGTTGGCTGTACTGAAGCCTCCGCCTTGCTATCGTGGATTTGAATCCCAACAAGGCCGCCAAGTTCTTTACATTGTGATCAAATGAAAACAATTATAAACAACAACTCCAATGCAGAGAAGTAAGCAGTCACATGTTATTGAGGAGGCCATTTCGTGAGTTATCTGTCACAATTTTGTCCCAGCTCCCCAGTTATCGTAGTCTGGTTAACTGACTCTTCACGAAATCTTTCACCGATCAGTCCTTATCACAAAACGGGGAAGGGCGTTCCTTTTGCCTCATTCAGCTAAACACAGAGCTGTACAGTATTAGGATAGGACCGGTGGACGGTGGGAGCCTTTTTATTATAACCTGCATACTCTAGAGATACCCTGTCTTTAAAATACCACAGACACTAAAGCACTGGCGAATATATGAGAAAAAGTGGGCTACTGAAGCTGTAGGTCAGTGACTATGGGGAGGGATAGAAAACAGTTTTATCACCAATAAGAACTCACTTGAAGTTTCACTTGGATCGAATGAAGTAGACGTGGAAGGTCCTTTGGTACAATCTTTTCACCTAATAGTCGCCCGAGACAGTACAGATAATGGCCCAGTTCGATCATTCTGAAAAGTAGGATAATTGGATCGTTTGAAACATCTTCAACAAGGCTGTTAATATTTTTGGCCACAGACACCAATTCGAACTCCTGCGGTGTGTAATGCAAATGATCAATGAGGGCAATTAGCATGTTCGGTATCATGAGCAGATGGTCCGCCATAGTGATGCATGGAGCGAAGTTGCGCTTGGCAATATCCGCATCCACCAGGACGATGTCATCGATAAGTAGAGCGACGGTGTCTCTCAAGACAAGTAAGACCTCTTGTGCCTCCGGAGTTATTTTGTCCGACATGATGAGCGGCTCCAGAGAGGAGCCATGGCGCTCAGACTGGTATTCCTTGTGTCGCAGAGACAGGGAGTGTTCAGTATCTTTATAGAAGATGTTGCCGTACGGGAGATAGGCGTCAGTCCGTTGAAGTACATCCGGGTTTGCCGTCTCAAAATCTTCATCCAGACCTGAAGAAGAACAACTGGGTGCCTCACCTTTCTTGCTGGGAATGTTGCTGCCGCCGCTACTGCAGCTGTTTGCTGACCCACAGGGCTGACTTCCATTATTGCATGACCAGACCTTCAATTTATTCCGTGCCCAGTCCAGATCCGCGTTGCTCCACCGCTTTCCCTCGGTCAGAGCCCTCAAGCAGCTAGCCTTCCAAAGAGCAACAAGAGGTTGTTGCTGATTAAAAAAATCTTGCAAAGCCAACATGCGCGACGATAGCTTCATTGTCGAGTGTCTTGCGCGATTCTGCGGCTGTGACATATCTTGGTCAATGCTGCAATAACTGATGTGGACTTCCAGGTCTGCGGTACTGCTTCGTTTTTGTACAAACGTGTTCGCATCTTTAAGTCTGTCGGGTGAGGATTCCCCATCGGCAGCTGATAAAGACCTTCGCTGACATATTCTTGGTTTGCGCGGCATAACAGGTTGAGAATTTAGCAGTTTCCTTCTAAATGCCAAAGCAGCCACTTTATCGGGCTGCAGCCTTGGATCGTGGAAGAAGTGATTTCCGTTGACAATTCTCCTCGATGGAGTCGCACAGGGTTTACTGGTACTCACGGGGCGCTCTGTGGGTTCTGTTTGCTTGCAACCACTAATTTGTCCCGGCCTTGAGCACTCCTGCATTTTCGGGACTAACGAGCTCCGGCTCACGGAACCTGTTTTCACTCCCGGCTGCCTAGCGCTATTTTCCATAGTCTTACAAAGGCTCCTAATTTTACAATCCAGCAGCGTCCTCCTGTCATATGGTGACTGTTTTCTCTCTGAATTCCTAGAGTGATTCAAAATATGTGATCCTTGTTGATACTCGACTGCCGGACTACAAAACCGATTTCGCCCACCCATCATGTTGCTTGTCGGGGGATTGGCTGTGGACTGTTGTTCCGATTGGACATATGGGGAAAAACTGTTTTGGTTGCTGTCAACAGCAGTCAATGAGCTGCTATTTATTGCATCCGGTTTCACATCACAACTCTCCTGCAGAAATTTTAAGCCTTCCATTAATGGGTATGCTGTTAGGGCTGATACTCCGATTACTTCAGTTTTGTTGGCTAGATGCTTCACTGATCTTATTATCGAAGGAGAGAGAAAACACTGGAAGAGACTGGGTGCAGGATCCACGTTAAGGACGCCCAGTTCTTTAAAGTTGGGAGGCATAGACGAACTGTGGCGTGATCCACAGGTGTGAAGTGTGCAAACCCTTGTGACACCAGCACATTGTTTCTTTCCAACACTCGTGACTGGTTTTATCATTGTCCTAAATGGACCTTGTCTGCCTGACATATTGGCCAACAACATGCACTTTCTTTCCAGAGGCATAAAAGCCCACTCGTCATATGACGCTTCAGAAACAGGCAGCATGATGTCATTGGAAGTATTGATACCAAGCTCAGGTCTATCACCCAGAAAACTAATTAGCGTTTGTTTTATGTCCCACAGGAAAGAACATTTCTGTAAATCCGAAAAGGTTGAATTATGGTGAGGCCTAGAGCTTTGAGAAAGCGACGCCCCCTGGATTTGGATTGCACGAGGTGTCATATCTCCCAGCCGCCTATGAATGGCTAACCTTAAACACGGGCTAAAGCACAGATCAATAACTTGGAAAAATCGATCACGCTTAGGAATAACAGACAACTAGTGTACATATACACTGAAAGCGATTTTGCGCTCGCGGTCACCGTGTTAGGTCCATCTCTATCTTTTCACTTGAAAAAGTTAAAAAAGCGCCTCACAGAAGTCGAGGAGAACACCGAACATGAACCAGCTGTCGATATTTGCGAGACAATGCGTGTGCGGGCCGACATTTTTGAATATTGTAAATCACGCTAGGTCAGTCAACATATTTGGAGGTTAACTCCATAGAGTGGAAGTGATTTCAGGATGTCTAGCACGTAGGAGGCACTGAGAAAAGTGTTACTGAAGGATCAAGCGCACCCAAGATGAACCTACTATCCTGACTGTTCAGGTAACTTGAATTAAAGTCGGTCATTTGATGCAGAAAATAGCAGCAGAGAAGACAAATCTACTTGTAGAG